TATATATATATATACAACACACACACAATATATATATATATATATATATATATATATAATAATAATACATATATATATATATATATATATATATATATATATATAAATATATAGCAGCAAACCCCGAAAACACACTAGATGGAACTAGAATTAGGTAGTTAAAGTTTATACACCTTAGCATATTTATATCGTTAGGCTGCAAGTTGAATGTAAAGTTGATTGTATATGTATATTTTTACACGTTTGTGTGATCAAATATGTCTGCATATATACCTGTATACCATGTTTGTCCACCAATAACAGCTCGGAGAGGAACCGTTTGTTTTTACCATCCTGTCTTAGTGGTGACCACACATGGAGACCATTCCATAAACCACTTGTAAAGTTACAAAAAGTATCTTATATACTATGTATCCGTGTATACACAAGCACTTATATAGTATGTATCCATTCATATACACGTACTTACACGCCACTTTCATATTATACTCCCAGGCCGGTGAGGAACCGTTTGTCAGTACCATTTTGCCCAAAGGCGTGTTCCGCCAGAGAGACGATACCCCCAAAGCACAGCGAGCTGTTGCACTGTTTGACTTTGAGACAAATGAAGACGACTGCCTGCCATTCACAAAGGGTGATGTGTTGACTATCACTAACGTCGACACGGGGGAAGAGGGGTGGTGGGAGGCTATGCTCGCTGGGGAGATAGGTGAGTGTTGTTTGCGAGTGTTGTGTGTGTGTGTATGTGTGTATGTGCGCATGTATGTATGTGTGTATGTGTGTGTGCATGTGTGTATGTATGTATGTGCGTATGTGTGTATGTATGTATGTGTGTCTGTGTGTATATATGTGTATGTGTGTGTATGTGTGTGTGTATATGTGTGTGTATGTGTGTATGTATGTGTGTGTGTATATGTGTATGTATGTATGTATGTGTATGTGTGTGTGTTCGCGCGCGCGTGTGTGTTTGTGTGTGTGTGTGTGTGTGTGTTTGTGTTCATCATGCTTGCGTGTGTGTGTAGTGTGTGTCTTTCTGTGCAAATGTACACGTGTGTGTATGTTCTATGCACGAGTGCTGTGCGTCCACTGGCTGTCTCTATTGTGAGTAGTGGGGAGGATGGCTTTTTAGAAGCTATGTTGAACAGAGAGATAGGCGAGCGCTGCATTTGTCTTGTGTTTGCGGCTGCAATGTATGTATATATATGTGTGATATGAATGTATGTGTATGTGTCTGATCTGTATGTCTATGTGCGATATATGTGCATACGTACGTAATGTGCACGTACCGTATCTGATCACAGGTTTTAGGGGTCTAGTCTAAACCCTAAACCATCAAACCCTAAAACCTGTATATGAACACGTGGACATATGAACTTTTAAACTAGCCTCATGTAGGTTTCAGCACCAATATGCGACTGAACGGCATTCGGGTGTTTCCCGTGCGTTATAAATTGTCCCCAATTAGCAACGTCCGCGGCCCACAAATTTCAGTTCTATGCCAAAAAACATATATATATGGGTTCAAATTTGCCATTTCTGAATTCTTCCACTATAACTGTACTGTGCGTGAAGGGCCGTGATGTCTCATCCTATCGCATACGTATGCCTCTGGGTGTATCAATTGGGTGTGTGGAGGTACATCACAGATACACAACGGAATAACGTTTTAACGCCATAGTGTTCAAATAGCACATTATTGCAGTTGCGTCGCAGATGTATTACTGGAATGAGGTTCGGGTGCCGTGGTATTCAAATATCACATTCACTGTATCACAATACTGTTCCGTCCTATATCTCCCACACGTAGTTCAGGTTGTGTGCTATGTAGACACATGAGGTGCACTCAATGGGTTGCCATGCACATGTCACATTGTGTGTGTTTGAGATTGTGTGCTATGCATATACCTCCTTTCTCTCTCCTTTCCTTGACTGTTGTTATGACGTGCACTCAATAGCTTGTCGTGTTCATGTCGTATTGTTTGTTTAGGTATCATTCCCGAGAATTATGTTGAGTTGCTGGACGATGAAGCCGCGGTGCAGAACAATTTGTGGAACAGGAATCGGCAGAGGTGAGTATCGTATGTGGTATAAAGTACCTACAATGGAGTATATAGTATTAAGTATATAGTACAAAGTATGTGGTATAAAGTACCTACAATGAAGCATATAGTATTAAGTATATAGTACAATTTATGTGGTATAAAGTACCTACAATGAAGTATATAGTATTAAGTATATAGTATAAAGTATGTGGTATAAAGTACCTACAATGAAGTATATATAGTATTAAGTATATAGTATAAATTATGTGGTATGAAGTACCTACAAGGAAGTATTTAGTTTTAAGTATATAGTACAAAGTATGTGGTATAAAGTACCTACAATGACGTATAAAGTACAAAGTATATAGTATAAAGTATTTAGTATAAAGTATGTGGTATAAAGTACCTACAATGACGTATAATGTACAAAGTATATAGTATAAAGTATGTGGTATAAAGTATGTAGAATAAAGAATATATTACAAAGTATATAGTATAAAGTTTCTATAATAAAGCACATAGTATAATGTATTTATAAGTCATACAAAATACGAACTATCTATAATCCAGGATATTCTTCTCATGTCGACACTTTCTGAACATTTTTCTCGCTCTCATACGTGCCCCTATAGCCTCAAAGGCATCACAGACGAATACGCTTTCCAATTCATAACGATGAAAGGGGTTACCCTAGTGTTTACAGTGTGTGCGACTACTGTGCTCTATCCGTATATTCTACACCTACCTTTCGCGAAACTTATAACCCACGTGCCGGCCTAGTTAGGCACATTTATATATATAGTACTAGTACGTTTTGTTCCGGTATGCGAATAGTTTATGTGCATGTACATCTTTATACGTGGACATGTACATGCGCGTATATACACTGTATATGCAGCAGTCTCAGTCCCATATCTGTGCATAACTATACACAAAGGAAGTATACATTACATCTTAATTTGTCTAAGACTATACATATAATATGTATCACACAGCGAGAGTGACGCTGGGCCCGAAGCCCTGCCCGAGCGAGACACTGAAGCGGCGGCAGAAAAACAGAGAGTGGAGGAGGAGCTAGAGATGCTCAAGGCACAACAGGCTGAACTATTGGAACAGCAATCACTGGCACTGGAACATCAGGCACGTACACAAATATAGGCGTATATTATTGATCATTATGTGTATATTATATATATATATATATATATATATATATATATATATATATATATCTATCTATATATCTATATATCTATATATGTAGGTATGTATGTATGAATGTATGTATATATAAATGTATATACATAC